GAGTTTTGAGGTCAAAGCCAATGCGTTTACAAAATAACATGGTTACAAATTCAATTTGGGGAATAAAATAGATCATAATATTGCATTGAACCTGGTATTTTAAACAGTCAGAAGAAAGTTGTAGTATGTGGCTATATCGATCTATTGGAGACCATTCAGGTTTAGGGCAGAGTTTTCAAGAACCAATATTGCTAACTAACCATCATCAAATCTTTAAATGGGTTTTTATGCAACATTTTCTGACAGTCTTTTGAATAACTGCAATCAAGCTGCCTGGTGGAACTTCAAAGTAGGTGTCATTACTTGAGGTGTGTTGCCATGGAGATGTCAGTGGATGTGCTCATCAACTAACGTGTGCTCCACCCATTCCACAGCATCTACGACCTATCCTTGGTTGGTGCCCCTGTAATGACTAAATATATAAAGAAGATTTCACTACAACAATTTGGAACTATTGAAAGTTTCTTTTCAATGTACTGAGGAGGCACAATGCTGGAATCAAGGGGGTTGGGTTTTTTTTCACTGCCTACAACCTTTTACCAAAAAAAAAAAGGAACATACCTTTGAATCCAAATCTGGAAGCCGTTGCCTTGGTGTGACCATGGTGATCAAAGACTCAGTCAGTGCCTTGTATCTGGCCTCTGGGCACTTTAGCCGACAAGGGAGGTAGTCTCAAAGCAAACGGTCTTCTGCCATCTTCCTTAAAAACAGCAACCTTCCAAAAACAACAAAGCAAAAATCTTACACATCTGTGGAACAAATGGACTTGTCTGATTGGACTGGATTCCGATCAACAGCTTAGTTTTAAAGGACGTACATTTGGATCTGCATCTGTTTGCCTTTTTAGCAAGTTCTTAAAATTTTAATACTTCAGACAATTTTGGACAAATGTGAATTGCTTGCCCCCAAAAATTGCCAATATTTCAGGATCCACAAATATTTGGTAAACACTACCAATGCAAAACGAGACTGATGAAGAAGATGATTTCAGTTCAAGTTTCAGGCATACAGGGGAAAGTTTGTGCTAAATTCAAGGCAAAATTAAATCCACAATCAACAAAACGAGGGCAATTGGAGGCATAACTATTGAGGTTTTTTGGGAAGATGGTGGAGCAGGAGGCCACCAATGCATCAGTTGCTGCTGTGATCTAGTTGCACTTCACCGTGGCAATATGTCAGTATGCAGTTGGCAGGATTTGATCATCACGTCCATACTCCCTAAGCGTATCACTTCAGAGTTCATTACCTGTCATAATGCAAAAGAAAAAAGAAACTATTATCAAAAGGGAAAAGCATTTCAATTTAGCACAATTTCTTGTACAGACTTGACTCTGGTTTAACAGAAGATATTGAATATGTAGAAACTACATATTGAGAATTAATCTCCAGGTCATTTTTTCCCAAATAACCTGAAATTTTTGAATCAGTTTAGAGCTTTTCAGTCAACAGTCTCATGCAACGAGGCAAACAGTACATGGTGTTGAAGTGTGATGATGGACAATGAATGCCACTTCCACATGGTGAATTTATT